CCATAGTCTATGCAGATGCCTCATAAGCTATCTCTGCAAGGTTGAAGTGGGAAGATGGGAAAAGCATCCTGCCGGAAAGACAGAGCTGCAGGCTCCTCATGGCCACCTCACCAGAGAAGCTCTGCTTTTACATGTTTCATATATTGCTCTCCTTTAAAAGATCTCTTTTGAATAATTTCCATCATGGAAAAGAAAAGGTTCACAAACCTCTTTCTATTGTATAAGTGTGCAAATTAAGTACTTAAAGATGCACAGAATAATAGAGAAAATTATGTTTCATGAAGAATTTTTTTGGGGTGTAGAAGTATCCCTAGTCTACTTTTCGTTCTTCCCTCCTTGCTCCAACTCCCAGTAAATATTTGAATTGCCTTTCCAGTTTTATTGCATTTCCAAAAATATGAATCCTTTCTGAGACAAGACCATATTGGGTTCCATTAGTATTGGGTTATGCAGTGCTCGCTGGAGGTCACATAGATAATCACAGAACCATGACTTGAGCCAGGACTCCTGAGTCATAGTTCACTTTCAATCTGCTTCTCATTTGGTGTACTTCTAGTACCAGTGGGAATTTTGCTGCTGCCCACAGGAAAACCAAAGCCTCACTATCCAAGAATCTTCTCCACGGGAAATTTCTTTTATTTATTAGATGAATTGTGTTTTCTGAAGATTGTAAGGCTACACAATATAAAACCAATAAATCTGATAAAGATCTATAGAAAAACAGTCTCACTTCTATTTAGCCATCAAGATACTTAACCCAGCATGCATCTTCAGTACCAAAACTATCTGGACTTCTAAATTCTGATCAGAAACTCAGGATCTGGGCAATGGAAGCCATCAATGCACTCATCGGCATCTGCCTCTTTTTGTAGGCAATTAAAAGTATTCTATAAATTAGAGAAATTTGAGTTCATATCCGATTGATGTCACTTCCTAGACATGTGATCTCTAGGCAAGCTATTTTCTATCTCTGAGGCTCAGAAATAGACTTGTAAACCATGTAAGGTGCACAAAGGTTGAGAATGTGCACCTTACATGGCTAATTGGAAAGATTAAATGAGACATACTCTTGGCATGAAGTAGGTGCTCAGAAAATTATTGTTATGTTACTATTAATTGAAAACATTTTTATACCAGTATTTTAGGACTAAGCCTGATATATATGCAATATATATATGATATATAAGCCTGATATATATAAGCCTGATGTATTAGTTCAGAAAATAATTTTGCTTCCGTTATATAACTAGCTAGTTCATACTATTTAACTTAGTTAAATAAAGATACACAGAGTTTTTAATATGTGCTAAACACAATATTAGGCCTGGACCATAAGAAATGACAGATATTCAGGACTTACTTTTAAGGAGCTGGCAATTTCAAACATACCAGACAGATGACACCTCCTGTGTTCTTAAAGATGTCTAAGAGAAGAGATCTCACCCTATAGCTGTCTACTTATTTCTCATTTCTCTGAGAGATTCGTGTGTGTGTGTGTGTGTGTGTTTGTGTGTGTGTGTGTCTGTATGTGTTTCTAATTCCTTGAGAATCAATGTATCTCCATCTCCTCTTATTTTAGGTGTCAGAAGAAAGAAGAGTTGGTCACCATTCTTCACATAATAAGCCTTAATTCCCTGAGAGTTATTGAGTTATTCCTCTGTCTTCTCTTTCAAGATTAAATAATCCTTATCCTTTTAACCTTTTCTCACAGGTCCTCTTTGCCAGACTTCAGTTTAATCATTTCACTGCTCCCCTCTAAGGATCTCTCCAAGTCTTTTGCACTAAATATGTTGTTTTTGCCATTGAGTTTTGCCATTGAGTTTACTCTTCTAAGCAACTTATCCTTCCACACAAACCAAGAAAAAAAACATCTCCCAAAGGGAAAAAAAAAAAAAAAGAATAGATAGAAGGATAGATCTCCTATGGAAGGAACTCACATGGATCACTCACACTCTCAAAGCCCAAGTAATATTTTCGTCACCACTATTGAGAGGGAAGGGACAAAACTAGAACAGTTTCTAAATAGGGCCAACCATTCTGCTTGACAATTAACTAAATTACTTTTAAGCAGGTAAGACTATTAACCACAAACTTAAGGCTTTAGTTAACCTGAAACTCTCAGAAGAGTGCTAATAAAATTACTGTTAATGAGATCAAACAGGAATTTTGGATTTTGTAAACTATCTCTGGCCGCCAAGTCGGCCATTGATGTGGTTATGTTATTCACAGGCAGTGACTCTGTTCAATCCTGGTAAAGTGCAAGGGATCTTTCCTTGCATTCTGTCAATCAGTATAAATTAATACTTTCTGAGCTGAGAAAGTGGGAAATTCTAAGGGGCTCTTAAGAAATGATTTAGAGAGGCTGATCAAATATATACTGATCATGTATAACACCAACACATGCAGAAAGGAACAAGTAGGAAAATTAGAGCACTAATAAAATCTCTCTCAAACATGCACAGTGACTTGTCAGAAATCTTTTTCAAAGATCTTTCCCTGCATTTTTCTTTTATTGTGTTATTGAGATGAACCTGCCCACTGTGAGCCAGCAGAATGACCCCTCTTACACACGTAAACTCACACTTAAGATTCTGCAGACAGGTTTCCAAATCCCCTCAAGAAACTGAGAAAACTCTTCAGTAGATCACATTCTGCCTGTTTCAGAAAACAAATTTTCTTTGTTTTGGAACCACTGTTTGGAAATCATTTTTTTCCTTCCCCCATCTGTTAAGGAAAAAAGTATACAATCGGGTGAAAAGAGTTGATGAGAATCGAGGTAGAGAGAGAAACTACTGCTTCCCTTGGGGTGGCTCCAGGCAAACAGGTGGTAGCGGTCATCGAGTTTGACTTCCGAAGCTAGTTTGGCTCTGTCCAGATTCTGGCTGGCCTAAAACTGGCTGGGCTGAGAGAGGTCTGTCAACAATAGCCATGAGACAACCAACTACATTTTGAAAAAGGCTCCTTGCCAAGTTCTCTGCAGATTCCCTTTTTTTCTGGGTCCAGAACAAATTCATGATTTCATGTGAAATCTTTCCAGGGAGGTGTAGCCCCAAAGACCGTTCAACCTATGAAACAATGACTTAAATTCTAAAACAGTGATCCTTAAGTAATCAGCAGTTAAGATGGCCAGGAGCTTATAACCACAGCATCATAAAAAGAAGCACCATCCTGGATGAGAGCAGACAGTTTGCTAGCTGTTTAATTGTCAGTGATGACCCATTATATCCCTCTTAGTCTTGCTGGTTGGTTCTCCATGAGAACCAGGCACAGGTACACGCCCTGGGATGTTTGGCCACCAAATGAAAGAAAGGCATATGTAAACAAAGGCCATTGGCAAGTGTATCCACAACTGAAGTCTGGGATCGCTAAAGAAACAGATGATTAAAATCCTAGCATATTAAATAGATTTGTGTGAACGCATTATAACTTCATAGTTGCCATTTTTATACAAGATTTCAATTATGAAGTGGAACTACAAATCACCCCTGATTTCATTTATTTGATGGTAAAGATAATCTCGTAAATTCTTATCAAGCAGTAAGAAAGTGAAAGTAGAGCACTGATATTGATGTATGTTACTTTGTAGTGGTTATGGAAAGTAGCCAGTAATGCTGGGTTGATAAATCATGAGTAGACAGAATTCCCTCTCTTTATCCAAATACGTACTTCAGAGACTTGAGCAATTTGCACCACCCCACTGCACCTTGGGTAAGCAATTTTTATTCCATTTGATTTTGAGAAATAATATCACCAATACCGAATACCAGCATTTGCAGACTGGGAAGAAAGGGAAAGTAAGGGAAAGGAGAGAAAGAGAAGTGAAAAACTAACACTGGTGAATTTTAAAAATATTCACCTATACTGAGCAGGTGACTTTTTCAGTAAAGCTTTTCTCAATCTGAAAAAGAAAAATAAAATTCCTGCTGACTTTCAAAAGCCCAACCATTTAGGTCATTCTTAAAAAAAAAAGATAGCCGGCAGATTAAAGGAGCTCCATTTATAAAAATCAAATGAACCTCTAACAAAGACTGTTTGGGACATGAATAAATCATCTGGTCATGAATTATTTATTGTTATCAAGAAACAATCTGGGGATTCCAGGAACTGGGCTTTGGGGAGGTGCTGAAGCCAGGCAATGAGGAAGTTCATTGTCACCTACCCACCACGGGAAGTGAGAGGACAGGCCACAGGTTACCATCATCTGATGCAGACCATGTTAGACTCCCACTTGAGTTTCAGAGGCTGCTTCAGCAACAGTTACACCCCAGAGGATAAAGCAAATAGAGTTTGAGCCACAGAATCATACTTCAGAAAACTGCAAGTAACAGACAATAAGAAGGTTTTTTGTGCACTGGATCTATTTTTTTTTTTTTTAAATACACATAGGGGGGTGCCTGGGTGGCTCAGTTGGTTAAGCGACTGCCTTCAGCTCAGGTCATGATCCTGGAGTCCCGGGATCAAGTCCCGCATCAGGCTCCCAGCTCCACGGGGAGTCTGCTTCTCCCTCTGACCTTCTCCTCGCTCATGCTCTCTCTCACTGTCTCTCTCTCTCTCAAATAAATAAATAAAATGTTTAAAAAATAAATAAATAAATAAATACACATAGGGACTGGGCGCCTGGGTAGCTCAGTGGGTTAAAGCCTCTGCCTTCGGCTCGGGTCATGATCCCAGGGTCCTGGGATCGAGCCCACATCGGGCTCTCTGCTCAGCGGGAAGCCTGCTTCCTCCTCTCTCTCTGCCTGCCTCTCTGCCTACTTGTGATCTCTGTCTGTCAAATAAATAAATAAAATCTTTAAAAAAAAAAAAATACACATAGGGACTACGAGCTGTGTGCAAAAGAATAGTAGAGATGGCTAGAAAATACCTTAGTAATAAACTGTGGAGAGTAATCTGACCTACTCATTCCTGGCTTTGGGGGTTGGCTTTTTTATTGGGGTCGAGAAGAGAAAAATGGAGCCTCTGAGATTTAATCAACTAATCAACGTATATGTGTGTTCCAGGTCCAAACTGCTTTGCAGGAACAACAATAATCCCGGCTGGCATTGAAGTGAAAGTGGATGAATGTAACATCTGTCACTGTCACAACGGGGACTGGTGGAAGCCTGCTCAGTGTTCAAAACGTGAATGCCAAGGCAAGCAGACTGTGTAGGACAATTTCCCAACCGAGGAGGAGTTCTTAGGAAGAGATGCTATGGCTTCTACACTGCACATGTTCGAAACAAAACAAAACAAACAAACTCCTGCCAGCTACAACAGGGTCACCAGCAAAACCTTTTAGGGTTGACAAAAGTGAATATTTTACTAAGAGGAAATTTCTCTCTTTCCCTCTTGCTATATAAAATATATATGGTATATAGCTATCGAAACCGCTTTTGTAATTATCCATGCTTGATGGTGACTTGACCACTGGATTTCTGAAACTAAAAGGAAGAAACAGCCTCGTACAGGCTCCTTCTCTGGTGAGACCTCTAGCCTGCCAGCTCACTGTCCGCCAATTTGCTTCATTTCTACTCTTCTGTACATCACCACCCATGGCATTTTTCTCTTGTAGAATTTCTTTTCGTATTTAGAATCTATGGGGCCAGATTTGACGGCACGGTTACGTTTGGAGTGGTGTCATATAAGCTTTAGTAAAGGAATATCGGGGGTGAGGACCCTTCCTGACCAGGAGGGCACAAAAGCAACTGGCCATCCCTCCCCTTGGGTGAAAGATGCCCTGTAAGGTTCAGAAAACGAGAGCTACTTACAGCTGGACCCGTTGCTGGGGCAGGGCGGGGGGGGTCAGGGTTTGGTGCAGTATGTGGGAGATCACAATTTACTACTTACAAACCACACATTTCAGATACAAAACCTTGAAACTGCCAATCAAAAACTAATATGTGAAGAACACCACGAGCTTGACTACAGCATCCAAAGGGAGCCAGGAATTCACAAATGTAGCATTAATCACCAGACTTTCTCATGATGCCGAATTTCAGTTCGGCTTGTAATTCAACACTCTACACCCGCTCTGTCACCTGGCCCTCTCCATACCAGAACCAGGGTGAGTAGCCCCACTGTGAATCTGAATCCTTCTGGAAACTCCTGGCTTTTGAGTTCAGATCTGGCTGCAAGCCAGGAGTACCCACAGGCAGTTTTATGGTTTGGGACTGTGTTTGCCATGTTTTCGTAATGACCGCTCGGCCCTAGGTCTAAAACACAGATTCAGGACACTCTTTCCACCTCAAGTGCTGATTTAAATTCAAGATTAGGGTAGAGTGAGTCTTGCACAATACAATTCCATTTGTTGAACATTTTTTAAAATGTATATATTCGATACTGAACAATTAAAGTGAAACTTTGAAGCGTCTCAAGGTTGCCCTGGTAATGCTGCTCGTATAGTAACAGAACAATAAAATACACAGGGTATCTGATGCCACCTCGAGTCAAGATTCTTGAAACCACATGGTGTAGTTAGTTGCTTATTCTGCTCTCCTGTCTTGACAACCCTAGCGCAGACCTGGCATGGTCCTTGAGGAAACTTTAAGGTTTTCTTCATCACTGATGTTCTTTGCTTTTCCACTCCCACCCGAGCCTGGGCTTTGCCGTAGCTCTCACGATGTGCCGCATTCCAGAACAAGGTTTTTCAAGATGAATTCTGTTGACATTTGGACTAGACAATTCACTGTTACGGCGGGGTGGGGGGAGCTGTCCCTTGCACTTTTAGGATGTTTAGCAACATGGTTGGCCTCTATCCACTCAGTGCCAATAGCAACACTCTTATTGTGACGACAGATTGTCTCCAGGCATTGCCAAATATCCCCAAGGAGTGGGGAAGGGACAAAATGTCACCTGGTTGAGAATGCGTGGTTTAGAATAATCAGTACAGATCGGTTTCTGCCAGGGAGGCATACTGTGCGAGCTCTGGCCCAGCCCGTGGCTTTGGTGAACCTCTACGCCCTCTGGGACATGCACAATCTGCAGCCCCAAGGGAAGGAGGTCAGTCTTCTCCCAGTGGAGTGATGCTTCTGCTGCCATAGGTCCACTCTCAGGACACACTTCTCTAGTCTCATCAACTGGGTTTTCATTTAAAACGGTCAGCCTCTCTTCCCTGGAAGCTCCTCCAGTCATCAAGAAAGAGTTGTCATTTCCAGAATTCACGTGTTGATGCCTTGGACCTGACACTTCTCACATACACTGTGCTCGTGTTTGTGATACAAACAGCCATGCCGGGCCCCTCCGAGGAAGAACATCACGCTGCCTTCTCTTAGAACACCGATTTGCAGCAAGGTTGGTGCCTTTTGTTGCCACCATGGATACATCACATAGACAGTCATGAATCATTCATGAACAATTCTGCATGATTTATTCCTGCACTCCAAAGTAAAGGCCTTCCATACTTCAGATTGCGTCTAGGCAGAGATGTAGCATAGAGCTTTCTTTGCCCTGAGGTTGCCTGGTGCCGGCTTCAAAAATCCACTCTCTTGGAAAGAAATAATAATAATAAATGACAGGAACAAGGTTTGAAACCCAGAAAATATCATTCATAGAGCCATGTAGCATAGTACCCTATCTATTATTAAGGAGTTACTATGTCCTTTCTAGGAAACAGAGAGTGCAACTGGGGAGCCAGGGTTCAAACAATTTACATTAAAGTCTTGGCACAGTGATAGTTGCAGCAAGAACTTACTAGAATGGAGTGTAATATCCATCAAGAAGCTCTTTTCAGAGAGCTTGCAGAATGAAGGCTGCTCCATGGTCTCTGTTACCAGCCAGAGAGAGGGATTTTTTTTTTTTTTTAATCGTTGTTGTCGGATTTCCTTTTTCCTCTGAGTTTCACTACAAGCTGTTTCCTTTAAGACTTTGCAGCACTGACATTTTTCTCCCTTTAGGGAGAGATGAACCTATACTGTGACAGAATTTCTCATAAACCAATAAATATTTTACAACTTCCTTCTACCCAGGTCATTGAGAAATTCTTTCCAAACTCTGAACAACAGAGTTCTGGTCTCATCTGTTTTGCTTTCTTTTTTTCTTTTGAAGGCTTTGTTAGCAGCCCCACTGTCCCCTCTGTCTCCCATTCCTCCTAGTCTTTGGTTCTCTGCTTTAACTACAGCTTTGTTTAAATAAGGGATCAACATCCTGTTTGTCAGCTGATGCCTGTTTAAAATGATTCAGTTTCTAAAATCTTTGAAAAATGGTGTGCCTGAAAACTAGTGAGAAAAAAAAAACACAACTAAACACTAAACTGTAAAAAGGGGATTCTAGCAACAATATTTGATGTGTAAAAGACTATATTATTAAAAAATTATTTTGTTAAATATAAAGTGTGTTAACCAGCAAACATTGTTTGTTGTATATTTTCCTTCCAAAATTCTCTCTCCTCTCTACCCTCATCATTTAATAACTAATCCTTAGTGACTTCTATCATCTGAAAATGCGTGTGTCATTAGAGCTATATTCAATTAGATTAAAGCGTCAGATTTAGCATTTTTCTGCATACATTTTCATTTTTCATAATATAAGGTCGGGCTGACTTAGGGATCAGACAGGAAGTTCAAATAAACTAGCAATGAGAGTGTAAGTGATAGGAAAAATGTTTTCTTAATCTTGCATCCATACATAATACAAATGATATTATATAATTATTGGGTGCCTGCTCTGTTGGCTGGCACTGTTCTGGGCACCAAACCCATAGTATCCTGTTCAAACCACACAGCACGCCTGCCAGGGAGGGGTTCTTAGTACGGCTGCTTTGCTGATGAGGAAACCAGAACACAAAGAGGTTAAGTGATTGGCCCAAGGTCATTTGTTCATAAGTGTCAACACAGGAATCTTGTATTATAAATATACACAAGAATACATAAAAATCAAGAAAATAACAGAGTATAAGGAACATCCATCTACCCATTGCCCAGACTCGTTATCAGGATTTTGCATAATTCTTCAGCTATTTATTTTTCTTCCTCAGAGTATTTTGAAGATTTTGTTTATTTATTTTTAGAGAAAGTAAGAGAGAATATGAGCAGGGGGAGGGGCAGAGGGAGAGAGAGAATCTCAAGCAGACTCAACACTGAGCATGGACCCCCATGCAGGGCACCATCTCATGACCCAGAGATCATGACCTGAACCAAAATTAAGAGTCGGACGCTTAACCAGATGAGCCACCCAGGCAGCCCTTTCCTTGAGTATTTTAAAGCAAACATCAAGCAATCAAGCATCATATCACTCCAGCCCTACATCTCTTTAAAGAAAAAAAAAAAAAGGACAGTTTCTTACCAAACCATGTTACATTACCAAAGTCCAACAAAATCAAGAATTCCTTAGCATCACCTAATAGTCAATCCACCTTAAAATTTCTTAGATTTTCTAAGCTATGAGGGATGGGGATACTTACATTACCTAAATCATCCATAACCTGCCATGTAGTTGATGTGCCTCCTAAGTTCAAAATGGGGCTTTCACCCTCCCTGCTGACAGCTGGGAACTCTGACAGAGTTGTGAGTTTGTCATTGGGGGGTGTGTGCTGGGAAAATTACTCTTTTAAAGCTTCATGTTCAACTCCCTGCTAGACGTTGAGCCCACTCATCGAGCAGTGGGCAAGAGGCTTTCTGTCAAATGACCTCTGGGGGCAACGAAGTGCCTCAGAGTGAGAACTGCTGTGGACCACCAGCACCCAGGGGTCACTGCCTTCAATATGCATATAAGCTCTCTTTCAGGCATAAGAGCAAACTGTTATTTTTCTTCCCCTTGAGACAAACATCCTGCCTAACACAGAGTAAAACTGAGCAGAATTTTATAAATTACCATCATCTTCTGCCTTGTTGAAGGAAGAAAGAAAGGAAAAAGTCAAGCACTTAAAAAAACGTCCACATGGAGTCTCCACACTTATGTATACGCACCCGCATTCCACCAACCTTTTCTGAAAACAAGATTAGGTTTTTTCCTTGCTTTTCAATTTCCTGTGCATCCAATTCTCTGCTCCCTGTGTCCCTTGCAAAGGGTTGTTTACAGTTCATTTCTGATTTGAGTTTCATGGGAGGGCACTTCAAAGCATACCAGAGAAAACTATGAACTGTGATTAGAGTCCTGGTTTTGTCGTTATTTGAGGGCTTACCACGTTGAGACTATTACTCTTTTAAAGAAAAGTACCTTCATGATTTTGAAAGACAAATGCTGTCTGAGCCAGCAACCTCACCTATACCTTCTTACCACATTTGTAAGGGATTTATAACTTGAATTGGAATGACAGTC